AGAGAGAGAGAGTGCAGACGTGAGTATGCTCTTCTTCACAAAACATGCCAAAGAATATTCTGTGGAAAGAATGCACAACATTCGCCGACAAGTTGCAAGGAGACAACGGAGTTCAGAACTACGTTATCCACAGAATAACAAGCAGAAAAAACTTMTGGCAACGCCAAGTCGCCAACGGAACATCGAATCTCACAAAGCTCGTCTTGGGCTTCCGCAACTATGTTCTACTACCCTAAACTTAATGATCAAGGAAATCCTGTCCTGCAAAAAAAATAAACTGTTCAACAATCTCGGCATTTCAGTCCCTCTCAACGAAACGAGGTACCACTTATAGTCAACGCATCCGCGAGAATTGCTACTGCAGCCCACATCTTTTTTCACTCCCCCCCACTCTGCGTGCAACACCTGTCTAAGTGCCCTTGATAATAGAATCTGCCAGGTTCTTCTCATCCACAAGCTCGGCGGCGGTTGCATCCATCTTCGACCTCGAAAAATCGTCAATAGGAAGACCTGCACAGCCATACACAGTCAAAAATCAGCTACTCCATCCACAATCGAAGGCACTGCGAAGAAACAAAACCAGGGAAACCTAGACTGCTGGCAAGAAACACTGACCGAAAACATAAAGCGGCGCCCCTGATTGACACATCTGAGACCTAAGTTCCTGTCCAGCGATCCGCTCAGATTTATTTTTTCGTTGTAACAGTTCTTCAAATTTATTTTTTCGTTGTAACAGTTACTTCTTTATCTTCGACTGAAGCATACGACTGGTGGTCAACCAACAAGCATACCACTGCTGGTCAACCAACTATCTTCCACTGAAGCATACGACTGCTGGTCAACCAACTAGCTATTTTTAGTACGGAAACATTACAAATGTCCTGCCGCGGGGTTATTTATCTATTGCCCTCGCTCTAAACACTAAGTATCTGGACCCCATTGTTGTCCCGACACATTGCGAACAAACAAACGCAATGTGTCAGAGTACATGTAAACTGGTGACTAGTTGAGCGAGGGTCTACGGCATCTTGTCTTTCGAGTCGTGTTAAAGTCGATTACCCGACTGTTGACACTACCAATGCGCAGGTCAGCGTTTCTCGTGGACGCCCAACTTTCCGCTGGGGACGGTGGCATCCATAGAACGCACTGGTGATGGAGGGCTTTCTTGTCACATACAATCTCGAAAGGGGGTTCCATTATTCTCACCCTGCCCCAAACCACTAGACCCGCACCGACGGAGAAAGTTATAGATACCCACCGCGACATAAGGTTTGTACTGGTTTGCCCCTCCGAAGTGTCTGATGCCCCGAAAGGCTTGAAGCCCGGGGAGGATCAGTTCCTTTCGCCACTACCT